CGCGTCCTGGCGGCGGCGGGGCAGGGGCGCGGGGCTGGAGCGGGGTGTTGCGAGCCAGACAAAGATAGCCGGGGAGGAGGAGGAGGAGGAGGAGAAGGAGGAGGAGAAAAGGGATACAAAATATACTGAGAGCGGAGAGAGAGAGAGAAAACAGCTCCCCCTTCCCTTCTCCAACAGGAAAAACCGGCGGAAACGCGCCCGCACCAGAGCACTGCTGGGTAAACTCGCGGGAGAGAGAGACAGAGAGACGGAGGGAGGGAGCGCGGGCGGGCGGGGAGAGAACCGGCCCCGCAGCCCTGCCCGCCCCACCGCCTAACAATAGCCCTGCGGGGCAGGGGCGACCGAGAGCGGCCCTTTCCCGCCCCAGTAGTGCCTGGGCCCTGCCGACGGGGAGCCCCACGCGTGTCTGCGGCAGGGCCGTGGGGCTGCGCCACTGGCGGGCTGCGCTGGCAGCCCACGCTGCCTCTGCCCCGCGGCGAGGGCAAGGAAGAGGTCCTGCCGCCCCCCAGCCCCAGCCGCCCCTCTGGGGGACTGCACAGTCAGCGTTGGTCTGTCGCAGCCGGTACTGACTATGGGGTAGGGGTATTTTCCCTTCCCATCCGCTGTGAGATGACAAACAAAATGTCAGTTTCTCCCTGCCCCGAGACCCCAGGCCTACAGGAAAAATATTGCTGCCTCATCAGAGACCTCTGCAGAAAGAGAGTCAAATCCTAGCCCCCAGAACCAGACCCAACTGTCATGGTGTTTTATCACATCATTTCTGACAGAACTGTCTCAAGCCCCATTCCCACCCAGAAGAAACCTCCAGCAGAATCTGAATCATGGAGAAATCTCATTAACCTCTTTCAAGCTAGACACATCAGGCATTTGCACACAGGTGTAAACCTTGGCAGGGTTTGTTTCTCACTGAAGTTCTTTATCACACTGGTATGGCAAAAATGTTACCTGCTTGCAAGAGGTCGAGTTACGTTTCCTGTGGGAACCAAGGTTTTCCTCTCTCTTCTAGTTTAACCACAAAATTACATATACATAGCTATAACTATCACAGAAACATACTTTTGAAACAAAGCAAACCTGTTGAGCAGAAAGTGTAAAGATAAATTACCATAACAGTTTAATGGTGTACTTCATTTTCACTTAAAGTGTAGATACAAAGAAAGGAAACTCCAGCCTAGGCCAGGAAACTGTTTTTCTCTGTACAGCAACCTATAGTTGGAAAAAAGCAAATTATTTCAAATGGGTTTGACACTGGGTCCACCTGAGTGCATGCACACAGGAGAAAGATCAGGTCTAGAGATGCAGTAGGTTTTGAAAAGTGGATTTCCACAAAGGTTTATTATCATCACCCTGGTTTGCATTACATGGCTTATTTAACATAGCCTTTTTATGCATAAGAGAAGACTTGGAAGGTCAGCTCCATTGCCTGTCTGCCGCAGCGTCCTGTCTGCAGGTGTAGCCAGTGCTAAATGTTGAAGGAAGATCACAGTGATACTTCCCTGGGGTATCCTGCTGGTTCTCTACACCTCGGCGTGTTCTTTAGCAGCATTTGGTGTCACTGCATTTCCTATTCTCTGATGATTTTTTCCTTCAATTAGATTGCCCATTTACTTTGTGGATTCACACATGCTTCTGGCCCTTACGGTGTCCTCTGGCTCAGAGTTCCAAAGCTGAACTAGCATGTTATGTGGAGACCACCTTTGTTCATTGGCTTTGAACCAACATGTGCTAGATTGCAAAAGAAAAAAAACCCTGCTGGTTCTCGTGTTGGAATAATTTCCTATTCAATTTCTCCATTATATTAATTTTTTTATAGACTTCTCTTGTGTTGTGTTTCCCCTCAGTTTTTGCCAGCTGGCAAATTCTGGTCTTTTTAGTGATACCATGAATGGAAGCTATTCAATATTTGCCCTTCATTGAACCATTTCTGTTTCTAATGCCTTCTTTTTTAAGACAAGGAAGTGGATTTCCATATCATGTTCCTGATGGGTTCGCCATGCAGTGTCATGGTGATGTCTTGATTTCTAGTCTTCTCCTGATACTTTCTTTTTTCACTGTTGTTGAGTATGACTAAGACATTTCTGCGGAACATGTCTATTATAACTCCACAATCCCCTTCTGTAATGTTAATACTACCTTAGAGACTGTTGCTGTGTATTTCTGGATGCTGAAAGATTTTCAAGCCCAAAGTCTGAACCAAAAGTTTTCCAAACCCAGTATATGTAACACTTTTCTTGTGCCCCTGAAAAGTACAGCCCAGGTTTTTTAGAGCTGAGGATCTGAGCCCAAATACACATTTTCACTATTCTAGCTCTGATGTGGCTCCACCATAGTGTCCACTCTCTGCTCTGAGCTTGTGAGTTTACAGTGAGTTTAGTTCTTTGTTGTGTTTTAGTGTTATACCAGAAGACCGCTGAAGAAGGAAAAGTGCTAACAAGTAACGCAACCCCTAACTTCAGGGAAAACAATAGTTTTCATAAAGCAGTAAATGCCACAGGAGAGCTTCCTGCTAGTTCCCATGTTGAAGCACCATGCCTCCTCACCTCCGTTTTCCTTCCCACACAAGCAGCAGGATGAAAGGCTTGCTTTCTTGAGGAAGAAGCCTCTCTGGCTGTGGCCAAAACCACTCTGTTCACATGTTCATCATGCTCTTCAGCACAGTATACTTACCCAGTTTGGAAAGTCTAAAGGTTAAAAGATCAAATCTAAAACCACTGGAAAGAAGATGAGTGGTCTGTTTTAACTCTTCCTCGCAGTGAAACCAGCACCCTGAGGAGACAGAGTGAGGCAGCCATCAAAAATCATAATGAAGATGAAACGCAAGGAAAGGCAATTTCAGGCCTGTGGATAGTCATGCCACACACAGAGCACACACGGTGTTCTCTAATGACAAACAGAGAAGAAGCATCAAAAAATCTGAGTCAGCTCCATCCATTTGGGAACAAAGCAGGAGAGAGTTGAGGAGCTGTGCACTGATTTCCATCACCCTCAGACACAGTTGCACCCATCCCTGCTCATTGTGCTTGTAGCAGTTGAGGGAACACAAGACCTGTAGCTGCCTGAGTAGTTTCAGCATTCCTGAAAGAGGGATGCTGAGCCTCCCTTTCTCTGGCCATTTATTCCTGTTCTCTCGCACCTCATCCCTTGTGTCAGCATAAGCATTCATACAGCTATGCAGTGAGCCAGGACTCATAGCAAAGCTAGCCCATGAAAGGAAAAGAACTTTTAATGTCACTGTTGATCAGGTCTGTGGGCTGCTTCATCATGTGCCTGCTTGGACAGTTGTATTGACAAAAGGGAGAGGGGCAGAAGCTGTATGAGGGAAGGAAGTGTAACCACAGCATTGCCTCTTGGTTGTGGCTATGGCTTAAGCCAGTTTCAACTCTCAGTGCACCCATAGGGGTAGAACTAGAGAAGCTTCCTTCCTTACTGGAAGAAGAACTGTGGGAACCCAACAGTTATGTTCTAGCCACAAAAGAAATTCCTTGCCCTCTATTTTTTTTCCCAGTTTGTTGAAATTGTCTTTGTTTTATTATTTTTTGCATTTAATGTGCTGGGGCCCTAATAACTGACAGAGATGTAGAGGTCATCAACTGCACTAACTTTTTATGAGCTTAATCATCAACAGTATTCAGGGAGATGAGTAAAGAGACAGGAAGTTCTGAATTTTCATTTTGTTTCTACTACTGATTCATTCCATAGCCTTGGGGCATCTCATTTCCTGTCTCCCTTCCCGTTCTCTGTTTGGAATATGAGAGTGATTTTGACCTCCTTGATAGTGTGAAGTGTTAGACATGTCACTCATCATACTCTAGGAAAATGGTTCTCTCCTTGGCTGAAAAAGTCTGTGAGGGTGAGGAATATCATAGGACAGAGTAGTGTATGAGACTGAGTGAGACTTTGCACAGGCTAGCTCTCCTGCTGCAGGCCAGAGGGTGGTTGGGAAACGTGGAAGACTACCTGTTCTCCTCGTGCAGGTGAGTTCTTCTCATGCTGATGATTACGACAGATCCTGGGAACAGATCAATTGCAGAAGGATGCCACACAATCAGCTTCCTCCACCTTATGCTCCTCTCCTCCTCTGTTGCTTCCACCACCACTATCTCACACCTCCATGTGAGAGCTGCTCTATGTGATCACTGCTGGCACACCTAGGTTCTTATATGCTGCATCTGAATGTCATATGGGTAGATCTGTTCCTACAGCTCTGGTTGCCCAGTTGCACACACGCTGCTGCTGGTGACATCCTGCTGCTTCTCCCTCCTCAGGGTACTGTACGGCCTCCCAGACCGATGGGTTACCCTC